ATGTTAGAAGAACCCTTCAGTCTGAAATTTGTGCAGTAAACCCTCATATTGGCCCTACTCTAGAGAAAATTAATTTTCTGCAAACAATACTTGGGGAGTTTGCAGACAGTATAATTCATCCTATAAGGTCCTATTTGAGAAAACAACTTAACTCTAATAGAACTCTTAATTTGTTGACTTCAGCATTTTTAATATTTTGACATTTACTTTGTTTCCCTTTTTATCTGTGTTTTGGGTGTTTGTTGTTGGAGAGAGAGAGGTGTTTAAATATTTAAGATGTTTTGAAGAGGAAGGAAGAAGCACGGCCAAAACCAGAACACAAGCCAGTCAGCAGTGGAGTGGGCTTACCAGGCCAAGACTGATGGGGGCCAGCAGGAAAAGCCCCACCCAGACCCTCACTGGCCCAATCTGTTCCCAGAGTAACCTTGTTCTTGTTTTAGGTGCGGGAGCGCTGACTGTCCTGTTGGCCAAACTGTACCTTTCTGAAGGAACTGTGTTTTGTGTTCATATAATGTATTAACAGGAGGAAGTGGATTCTAGAGTTTGACCGTCCTTTGACTTCTGCCCCTGCCACTTGGTGGTTGTGCGAGCTGGCAGCTGAACCTCAGAATTCTTGTTTGTTCTCCGTAAAATGGGAATAATCACCCCTGCCTCAGGCTTCATTGGGGGTCCTAAATGCAGTATAGAAAACATAGGTAGAGACTCCTTCATTTGCTATTGCAGCCTCTGCAGCCCCGTGGGAGGCTTGTTTTGGTTTTGCTCTGTTATTTGTGAAGCACATGGAGACCTCAGGTTTTTTCCAGCATTAGGAAGATTTTTTTTTCCCCCAGTCAACCAAAGGGAATGTAAATGCAGTAGAACTTTTAATGCTATGTTTACATTTCAGGATTCAGAATCCCTGTGGGTTTGCGTAGCATACATGATTTTCTACCATTGAGCGCCTGCTTTGTCAGATGAGATAGCGGATTTAGCCCCCGAAATGCCGTAAATGAAGTCATGGCAAAGAAACCTGGAAGGTATATAAAGATGCTGTTGTCTGGATCAGGAAGAGAATAGAAATAGCCCTCAAAAGTTGAAATTTCCAGCTGAAAAATTTTAATGTCTACTTACAGGTAGGCAGTGTGGCCTAGCCACAAAGCTCAGGATTTTCCCATCAAACAGGATTTGAGGCTCAGCTTAACTGTGACTGGCTCTTTCCAGAAATGAGTTGACTTTTTTGATCTCTTTGCTCAGGAACGCTACTGCTGCCAGCAACAAGGCTGGGTAGGGAGCACCTAGCAAATGGTAGAGGTTTGAAACCAGTAGTTACCGTCTTCCTGTTCTTAGAGCTGCTAGATCATATATGTCCAGGTGATGTTGCAAAAGAAGCCACATACTTTCACAGCTTACAAATAACCCTGGTTTTAGCACTTGCTTCTTCTCTCATTAAATCCTGCCGCCTTTCCTGTTTGTCAGTCCCCGCTTCAGCGTAGTCGAGTAGGTGAGGATTTCCCCACTAGGTCAGCTTCCACCTGCTCTGGGCCCGGAGAAGGAAACTTGGAAGAAAATTGTAAACAGGTAGATTTTAAACTATGTACTAATTTGAAAAAAGACACTTCACTGTTTGCATTGTAGATTATTAATACTGATTACCCTTGGCAAGACACTGAAAAGATTGTGAAGAAACCTAAAATTCATATAATACTATGTTGAATGTGTGTGTGTGTGTGTGTGTAAAGGTTTGTGTTTTGATGTGTTTTATGATTAACTACCTGCCCAAAACAAAAAGCTATGTTGAGTGTAGTCCCCTACCATATGCAAGATACTAAATAAGGAATGTCTGGAGGTTTTGAAGTAACCTTTCTTCGGCGATTTTCTAAAGCAATTTTAATGACCATCTGGAGGGAAGCAATAATTGTTTAATAAATTAGAAACCTTCTCTTTCTCCCAAAGTTTAAGTTTTCCCCAGTTAATACCAGCGCTGAAGCATTTGTCAAAAGCTTTATTGATCTCCTGTCTCAAAGAACTCTTTCCTGCCTTCAAGGCAGTTAGTTGATAGCCCCGGGAGTTCTTTCCATAGAGTGACTGTAAGATTTGAAGGACCTTTTGCCCTCATCTACCAGTTTCTACTGCTGAGTGGGCGTGAGTGGGAGTCAGTTCCTTTTAAGTTGCCATTTGGTCTTTAAAATAAATGACCCTAGAGTTGTCCGTTAAGAGAAGTCAGCAGCAACCTTGTGTTTTTGGTCGGGCTGCTCACTGGCCCTGCCTCTTATGAAAGGCAAGAGTTCAATGATGGAACAAGAACAGTGGTGCACTCCACTTTTTGATCCATTATTGAACACGAGCTGTGCCCCAAGCTTTTTAAAATGAATCTCTTCAACTTATCGCTATGTTTGGAGTTACTCCTTTAAAGAGAATGTATTGATGATAATGATAAATATAACCCAGTTTTCTTCCTTGTTTGGATTCTAGTATTCTGACTTCTCACTAACACAGAGGGTTGTAGATAAAATATTTTAGGACCATACAGTCTCATTCCTTTTAAAACTGTGATATAAAATATTTTTAAAATAACAGATTTAAATCATATTTTCTACCCATTTCTGGAGCTTGGACCTCATTAGAAAGGATTTTACTTTGAAAACAGCTTTAAATCCCCAAGGGTGACTTTTGAAAAATGTATAAAATCATTTACATTTCATATTTTGGAAAATGTAAAAATAAGTTACATCCATTTATATGTATAAATCACCACACGTACCATCTGTCCAACGAGTTATATTTTCACAATTCCTCCATCTCTCTTTTGGATTTCTTATCAAAATTCACCGTTAGGGTTATTGAAAGAGAAGTTTCTGTAGTGGGCCAAAATGTAAAGTCTGCTGCAATGGCTTTCCCACGTGACTAAGTCACTGCTAGCACATGGCCACTAGTTAACACAATTTCTAGGCCTATCGTCTTGCGGCTCCTTTGTTCCTGAAAGATCCCGCTGATTTTTATAATTTGCTTCGTGAAAAACCTCAAGTTAATTTGTGATATTAGATATCCTGTCATTCTGGGAAGAAACACGTTTTTTTTAAGTAAAGGTAGTGGCACATTTCACATAAAAATACTGATACATTTTATAATTTTGAAATGCCATTGTCATTCGTTAAAAAATAAGTCCCTAAACTTTCTTACTAAATTGGCAACATTTTCTTTTTTTCTCTCCCTGCTAAAACTCAAGTCTGTTTCTTTCTTTCTCTTTGAAGTGCATTTTTTTCTGCATGCGTTTTTTTCCTAACATCTAACAAAAATGTCTTTTTTCAATGCACAGGTTACTTTGCATGATTTTTGGAATTTAATCTTATACAAATATAAAGGTCAAGTTAATGTATATTACATTGGTGGTGAAAAAGATTCCTTCAGATAACTATTAAGTATGTTTCAATAATATGAAAATGTGTAGTACAATCGGTAATAGTGTGTTTTGTCTGTGTCATGAAAGCACACGGGCCCCTTGGGATTTAATTTGGATGGAAAGGCTACTGATGACTATATTTGGAGGTCAAGGGAAGAAAGTAAGATACTTTTGCCCAGTCTGTGCTTAATAAATGCTTTTGATAGGTCTAAAATCTGGTTTTTGATTCTGTAAAAGACATTCTGATATTCTAAAATTCATAATTAATTTTTATTTCTGGTTAAATACATTTGGGTCCTTGGATTTTTTTGTTTTTCTTTCTTCGGACACAAATAGTAGGTTTGTCTTAACTGGGCCCAGGATTAATTTTAACATTGTGAAAGCATTGAAATATTTTGTGGTGTTTACTTCCAAAGCATTTCTCAAGCAGATATGTATTTTTTAATGTTTGTTTATTTTCGAGAGAGAGAGAGCAAGCGGGGCAGGGACAGAGAGGGGGACAGAGGATCCAAAGTGGGCTTTGTGCTGATAACACAGAACCTGACATGGGGCTCGAACTCGCGAACTGCGAGATCACGGTCTGAGTCAAGGTTGGACGCTCAGCCGACGGAGCCACCCAGGTGCCCCAGCAAATATGTTTTTTGTAACACCTTATGTCACGGGTAAAAATATTCCGAAGAATTACTACAATCCTAGAAATTTTGAGTCTTTGGAAAAATAAATGTATCCTTTTAGTCAGAAGAGTATGTGATGCATTTTTCTTTCTTTTGACTCTCAGAAATTTGAAAGAGATGCTATTATGTACCAAAGTCTTCTCTTGGCCGTTGTTCTAAATCAAAACCCTTGGAACTAATTCCTCAGGCATTGTCTTTCAAGCTCACTGTGCCTGCTGCTACTTAGAACCATAGAAAGACTTGCTGGAGAAATCCGAGTCTCATAGGGCTACTGTTGCTTCAGCTCATTGCTTTCCCACCTTGCTGCCAGAGTGCTCACTGCAGTACATTGTCTCAGTTAATAAAGTAGAACGTTTGCCAAAACACCGAATTTGTACCATTTAAGTCTGGTTTGCTTCCCAAGGACTGGCCTTTCTCACTTGGCAGGTGCAACAGGGGTTTTTCAGATGTATTTAAACTCTTTCTCTAGATTTTCTCAGTCAAAGTGGGGCTTGAGGAAAAGTGGTTGCTCAGGTTAGCCCATTGGCAGCTCCTGTAGAAACTTGTTCCCTCCAGGGGCACCAGGAGCCCTGTCCAGTGCTGACTTGGTAGAGTGAACCATCTTCAGCCTTTCCATGTCCTCTCGTTGTTTTCCTTACTTACTTAGCAGCTTTGTCCCTCGTGCTAGACAGCATAGGGAAGGTCATTGAATATGAACATGCTGTGGATATCCCAGGCCAGGGCGTGAAGGTGAAACGGGGGCGTATTTTCCAGATTGAAGTCAGGCTGTTTATAACCGGTGATCCTATTTTCTCCAAATGCCTTTTGTGTGTGTGTTTTATGACGAAGCTGTCCTCTTACTATTGTTTGACTCATATGAAGAAAGTTTTGTGAGACCATTATAATGAATGTTTTGACCAGAATATGCTGTTGTCCGTTACATAATGAATCACATCTTCTTTTTCCAGGCAGCACAAATTGTGCTGATCTCTCTGTTTGAATTGAACACTCCCGAATTTACCATGTTACTTGGTGCCTTGCCAAAAACCTTCCAGGATGGTGCCACCAAACTCCTGCATAACCACCTCAAGAACTCTAGTAACACCAGTGTGGTGAGTGCCTCAGTCACGACTGGTGCCTCTGTACTGACCGTGACCTCTGCGAGTCCCTTGTCTAGACTTGCTCTGATAGAATGGCCAGCTTTCTTGTTTTCTTTCAGTAAACTGTGGGTGTCTGGAGGGTGGGGGTGTGTCTGGCCCCTGCAATAGTCCCAACGAATGAGCGAACCTAGTGTTTAAGCATACCCTTTTTCTTAAGTGAGATTGTTCAATCCATTAAATTTTTACTTGGTCACTTAGCCCTTTGTTCACTGAATTACTTATGTTTTTCATGCTATAAAGATGGAAGGACTCAATTGTGTGTGTGACTCTGGCACAGGTGACATCAGACGGTTCAACTTGAGGAACCCCTGCGTGACAGCTATCCGTTTGGGGTGTATCTGCACTTAAAATTGACCTTATCATTCTTTAAAAAAAAAAAAAAAAAAAGTTACCCCGATTGTGCAAGTATTTATCTTCATTCTGCTTTCACCCCAGGGCTCTCCGAGCAATACAATTGGCCGGACTCCCTCCCGACACACCAGCAGCAGGACCAGCCCCCTGACCTCACCCACCAACTGTTCCCACGGGGGCCTGTCTCCCAGGTAATGCCATTTCCCCAAAAGTGAGGAAACCACCCCAATGTCTGTCTACCCCATTCCTAGGTTTTTAGACCAAGCTTAACACCAAAAAATGGATGGGTATCAGGAGATCATGGGGTCTAGTAGTCTGTATAATCTTGGGCAAAGCAGTTGACTTCTATGGCAAAATGGCCAATTTGTGCTGAATGTTCTTGGAGATTCTTCCAGCTCTAAGCACTCCCTAGTAACTTAAAGATTTTAAGGCTAAAAGCCACATTTAGTACTGTTTCACGTAGAAACGATTTAGAAATTCATCACCTATTTTGTAAGTGGTAGGAGTGCCTTATGGTATTTGTCATCTAAATAAATCCCTTGTAGTCCCACACAAGGCCTAGGGTAGTTTTCCAAACCAGCAGTCAGTCATTCCAGGCATAGTTGCTGTAATTACAGGCTCACGTTTGAAGCAGACTCCTGCTCCAGAGAGGTATTTAGAACCCGAGAACTGAAATTAGATCATTGTTTTCAGACTTTGTTGGGACCGTGCAAGCATTGGTCTTACAGACTCTGAGTCAGTGGCTTTAAATAAGAAAAATGCCTTGTCCCAGCATCTGTAGACTTCTCCATCTGGCTAGAGCCTGTGGAAGTCTCTGCATGGTGACTTTAGTGACCCCCCCACCCCCCCACCCCCGGTGTGTGTTGGAGCCTTCCATGGCCTCACACTAAGTAGTGGCCGTAGAGACCAGACTTGACAGTGCCCAGACGTGTGAGGGTCGTACGTACATGCTGTATTTGTCTCCAAGAAGGCCACATCTTTGAGGTCTCTGGGCACAAGGATCAGGGGCTGTGTCTTCAGGGTTGCCGACACCAGGATGACAAGAAGATACTGCAAGTACATGCCATCTTCCCTTCAAGGGTTGCCTCTTTAGTAGGAAAATATTACAAGTGCCTTTAAATTTAGATTTTGAATGATCAAGAGTCTCCCCAAATCTTCTGTCATGACCAATGAAGTCCTCTTGAGTTTCTCAAGTTGTCATCTAAGTATTTGGAGCATACCAAATTTGTATTTTTCTCTTGGTGACACAAAGTATTTTGTATACTTACAGTATCCTACCATTTGTATTGCCCTACTTATAATCTCTCTAAATGCCCCTGGTGCCATGTTTAGGTAGAATGAAGAATGATGTCACGTCTCCAAGTTTGGTCTGTGTTGTCATGATTTTGGCAGGCTGTTACGATCAGACAATTGAGATCAGAAGTGAGTGAAAATACGTCTGAATTTCCCCAGGTGTCACTGAAGCTCCACTATTTTTTTTTCTTTTTCTACGTTAACATCTGTATCTTAAGCATATGGCTAGTCTTAAATGACCAGGGTCTGGTGTTAATGGTAAAATCAGAGTTCTCTTTCTTGGGGCAGCGGAGTGGGGAGGGTTTTATGGAAAACTTGTATTCTCTGTAAATTGTTTCTTTTGTCTAGAAGTAATACTTCACCATTAATTGGGAAATCTGCTCTTCCATAATACATGATTCATACTCCTTACCTTTTATTTCATTATTAGGGTGGCACATTCCTTAGGTAATAAGCAAAAGGTAAAATGCAAGTTAAGTATTTTATTATTATATGTGCTACTAGTCTAAGTAAAGGATCAGTGGCGGCTGCTAGCATAATCCAGCAGAGCTAAGAATTGGCTGGGTGTTAATCTTCATGGATCCCCAAATTATTAAAAATTTAATTTATTTTTCCAGCTCACCATTTATTTTTAATTGGTCTGGTCATAATTTTTATTGTCAGGATTGCAGATCAGTGGAAGGGATTAATTTTCAATATTAATATCATTTTCAAGATTAAGGCCAGTAGTGGCATAAATGTTTTCTTGTCAACAAATTCCTCTTTAGGGAATTATTTAGTTGTGTGGTTTCTTTATTTTTTAAAAGAATGTGCCCTCCGTCAGTGCGTACCTAGCTAGATGGCCTTAGCCAATTTGAACTCACAACCAAAACTGTCCAGAAGTGGGAAAAAAGGCTTCCTGTCATATCACTGGAAATACTCAAATAGGCCTCATACTTTCACCAGGAAAATTATAAAAGAAATGAACTCTTGCATTAAATAGGAGAATGGACGAGGTTACCCCATTCCTAGGGGGGCGATAGACAAGTTCCACCACACATAATCCCAGAGTTTTCTGAGCAGTGCTCTTGAGGCATTTATTTTCTGTGACCTGCAGTTCTTTTGAATCATCTTAACCATAAAATGTTAGCTTTGTTATTCTTACAGGAAAAAGTCATTACCAATTACTGCTTTTTAATCGAAATTTTTTGTATCAAAACAAACCATAGTATCTTTTTTTAGTCCCAAAATTCTAATGCTCAGATCATGGTGTGTTATTAGCAAATACTCTAAAATGATGAAAAAATCTAATTTGATAGTTACAGAAAAATTGCTAACGAGGAAGTTGTTTTTGCAATAGTATTAGAGAAGCCGGAGCTAACACTAAACCTTGGTGAAACATTCCATTAATTGTTTTTTTGTGTGAGGGAAGAATTACTCCTTACCCGTAGCTAGTAAACAAATACTGCTGGGTATTTGAAGAGATTTGTAATCTGGAGTTTTGTCTTTAAACACATCCGTATATTTTAGCTCATTTTACCCAGTGTGATTTGTGTTAAATGAAAAACCGAGTTGCAAGGGGCTTCAGAAATCACAGGACATCCATTCCTTTTGAGATGAGAAAACGGATGGCCTTCCTCGCCTTGGTCTGCTGAACGTTCTTGACAAACGTGGTGTAGAGCAGAATGACACTAATAACAGAGCATCCCCTCTGTTACCTCCAGCAATAAAGGGTAATTTTAGGTGGATTTTACAGCCATTGCATCAGAGGATCAACAGTTTCCATAGAAGCCAAGTGGGGATTAACTGGGAAACTCAGCCTTCCGTAAGCTGTGGAGGGGCTGGTGCACCTCTCTGCTTTCCGCTGCACCTGTTAGCAGAACTCCAGGAGACATGGTCACCCGGATTCTTCTTGTACCTCTGCCCCGATTCAGTGTGTGACTTAGAGGTCTGTGGGCCCTCCTATGCTGTGGTGACCTCTCCTCTCTCCACTTACTTGCCTTCCAAAATAAGGCCACAGCTGTCTTTGGTGGAGACTAGCTCTCAGGACTATGATGAATGCCAGCCGCAGGCGGTGCTGCCCCCTGGGGACGTGGTCTCTGATGCCACGACTCCATCCTGGGCCTCAGATCACATTTCCTGCCAGGTCAGCGCACGCCTCTCCCAGTGTGTGTGGCTCTTCTGAATCGCAGCAGCTGTTAGAACTGTCCGTCAGGGCCTCTGCAGACCCAGGCCACTGAGTGACATTCACGAAGTGAAGAGGGCTGCCTGTGTTCTCAGATGCATTTTAATTCTCATAGTAGGTGATGTGAGTAGGGGAATTGTAACCCTCTAGTGGTGCTGTTACTCTTTCAGAAGGAAATTGCTTGTGGTGGCCTCTGAGCTCCCATCTGACTGGATCCTGGCCTCAGGGAGCACCTTGCCCCCTGCTTGAGTGCTCTGGACAGAATGGCACGTTCTCTGAATCTTCCTGCTGTGGTCCCTTGGTTCTCGTTTGAATTAAGGCCCGAAATTCCTTGTCTGGCTCTTTGTAAGACAGTTGGTTGCATTACCCGAAACTGAACATCCGTGCCTATTTGTGTGTAAGTGCTCACAGTGTCCTTCCCCGTGCACACACACACCCCCAGTCTTACCCTTGGAATCTCATGTGATTTAAACATGTAACACACGATCGAGAGGGGAAGGAATAAAGCAGCCTCATCAGGGGCCAAACTGTAAAACAAAATTTGTTCAGTTTTCCTCTGTATGGTGAAGTGTACATTTTGCTGCAGTTAACTCTGACAGAGCCTGGTCAAGGAAGGAGGAGACCGGAAGACATTCAGGATATCGTGTCTTCCTGTCCCCTCTCCCCTCCCCTCCCCGTTGCCTTGTGTTGTCTCTCTCTGATTCTCCTCTTCTGATCACTGCAGTCGGTTATGGGGTTGGAGTGCCGATGGGCTATCGAAGCACCCACCTCCCTTTTCTCAGCCTAACTCCATTCCCACCGCTCCCTCCCACAAGACTCTCAGGCGCTCTTACTCTCCCAGGTAACAAGCTACCTGTTAACCTTGTCCGAGGTGTCACAATATTATTGCTTTTCCAGGGTCGTCTCAGGTCTTGTGGAAAGCCTCTGGCTTAGATGAGCAGGAGTAGAGCCTTGGTGAGAAGTGTGAGCAGGCACATGGTCTCTGGACCCGCATGAGTGCAGCTCCTGCCGCGGCCCAGGGACAGATGACTGTTTCATCAACTGGCCAAATCCGTCAGCACCCACTGTGGCCCAGGCAGAGCTGAGCCCCCCACCCCAAAAGGTGCTGGGACAGTGCCGTGCAGTCGAGGCAGGCGAGAGGGGCACAGTTTCCTTCGTATTCTTCTCAAGCAGACAAGGCATTCCCACCCAGAAGCAAATGAGACCTGCCCTGTCCCAAACCGTACCTGTAGCGCTCGTCCTGCTGTTGATGACGTGGACTGCTTTCTTGCATAAGGTACCCTCACGTGGCGATAGTCTGATCCAGAAGGGGAAGTCAGGAGGTTTTCACTGCTGCATCTCACTGAGGTGCCCTTGCCTCTAGGCAGTGGAGGGGTCAGTATCTAGAAGAAGGAGGTGGGGCTTCCTTCAGATTTAAGACAGATGGTAAATCAGTGGGACAAAGTAGGGCCCATGGATTCCTTTAGTTTACTGCTTGAGAGTCCTTTAGGTGCTTATTATAAAGGTCCAAAGATCAGAGGACCCCTTCCGTTGAAGCCTATAACTGCATGAGCAGAGCATAGGGCAGTTCAGCCATCTTTGTGCTGTGCAAAATGAGTTTCTGCCCTCTGATAGGATGGGGTAAAAACAAAACAGAAAAAGGTCTGCTACTTCTGAATGCTTCACAGATAGCTTTTGCACAGAAGCTTTACATTTCTACTTTTGGGTCCTCAGCACAATGAAGCTGTACATATGAACAAGTCCGCTGTGTCGGGTTTTAACAACACCTTTCTTTGGAAACTCTTATAGGTCTAAGAGTAGCTTCCCAAGTGTTCAGAGTATCCTATAATGACTGTTACTAGATACGCAAGGTTAGGGAAAGGGCACAGCAACAACGTGACCACTGCTGTGGTCAATGTTAATGAAGCGTGTTGCTTTACTTCCTTTTTTAAAAAAAAGATGAGCCAGGCCTCGAAGTAGAAGTCCCATTTATGACTGTCTTCCAGTACACTGACCTGTGTGCCCTAATGGGCACTAAACTTCACCCCCAGCCACTCTCAAGACCCCATTTCCAGAATCATCCTTCACACATACACAGTAACACAGCTGATGCTAATAAATACCCATTAACTTTTGTTGGCCATCGGAGGGAGAGAGCATTGACAAGAGACTTTTACATTTAGAAAAACCTGTCCGTTACATAAAAATAAGAGGAAACCTTTGTCTCTTTGCTCTCTGTCAAAACTGTGTTGATGGCATAACACGGAATGATTATCCTAATTCCATACCTAGAATCTTAGTGTCCTTCCCACTGCAGACATATTTTCCCTACAAAATGACAAAAGAGGAAAATCTGAGAAAGCAACCTTCCTGCCTCTGGTGTCTCTGTTCTTGGAGACCTGACCTCACCCATCTCCCCACCCTTGATATGGACCCTTTACAACAGGGCAGGTCCAGAGCTCTATTCTGCCCCAGTGTTGGGTGGCATGGCCTGACCTTAGGCCAGTGAATATTGACCCATTGAGCAACTCTTCCTAATCTGAAGAATTCTAAGGAAACCCTCTGGGGTCTAATCGCAGTGTTTACAGAAGACCGGGAGCTGGCCTGTAACTAAAGGATTACGTCTCTGAGCTAGGGGGCAGGTGGCAGACTAGGGTCTACCTAAGCAAAGCCTCCTCTAAGAAAGCCACTGCGTCCCTCTTGCTGTGCTCTCTTATGTTCTGCTGGCCGGGACCACGGTATCTGGGATTCCCCGATGACAGCTTTCGTGGGAATTTCCTTTTTCCCTACAAAATGAGGGCTCGTAGCCATCGATTCGGAAAAAAACAAATGCCAAAACATGAACTAGCGAAGAAAGTAACGTTATCTGGTTCGTGTTGGAGAAAAGCAATGCCGTCTCTCACCTGCCGCTCACAGTTTTAGCTTCGTACCAAGGAGATACTTCAAACCTCAAGTCTAAAAGAAGTGTCACCCCGGATTGCAGCCGGTCATGCACATGTACTCCTCACTATTAATTGAAAGTAAGAAGGAGGAGCATTAACTGGCAGAATCCTTTATTTTCTTATTTTGAGACGAGGCTATAAAGTTCTGTGAACGGAAGTGAAATATTTTAAGGCCATTGAGGTTACGAATAATGAGATGAATGAAGTGAAAGCTAATGTTATCTGAAGCGACATACGGAAAATAATATTGTGACATCCCTTAAAAAGCTGAACGTTCCGCCAGACTTGCTCTTGTCCATCTGTCATTCTTTCAGTTGTTTTTTTTTTCCTTTTTTGCATGGGCTATGCTATTATTTTTGGTTGTTGTGATTAAAAGTATTTTAAGGCATCTTTTTTACATCTCGTATACATAATTTTTTGTTTGAGTCATACTCAGTCTTTATATATAAAAAATAGTGTACTGGCCAGATGTATAAATGCCTTTGCTCCCACGGAAGCTGGTATTGTGGTGTTCTAGAAAGGAGGGGCAGGGACCGACCCCCTGTGCTCCTCAGTCACGCTTTCTTCACATTAAAGTGATGTTGCCCCATAGACAGACAACCTTATGAACTTAGCAGGGGTTGACATCTTGAATTCCATTCAGGTTTTTCCTTCCACTTCCCGTCAGTATATACATGGGACTTTAGCTGTTAACATGTTCATTCACATTTCTTTGTGTTTGCTGCCAGAGCCCGTCTTTGAGTTGGCATGTATTTTTGTGAGCTCTCCAAGCACAGTTGGGGTATAGATTTTCTTTCATTCATCAGAAAACAAGAAAGTTCTATCTGGGCGAGTTTTGCAATTTTAGGCAAATAGCTCCCATCTCCAAAGGTGAGTTCAGATGTTATGCCCCAGCAGGACGTGTCCAGCCACAGAAAACACCTGGATGGTTCCAACCGCGAGCCAGTAGAGGTCTGGCTCCTCCCAAGTGAGGACCGTCGACCTCTTATCTTGCTCATCTGCCCAAATCATTAAAGAAGAAAGAAAAGAAAAGGTGGCGAGGGGGGCTTAGTAAATATTATTTGTTTGTAAGCTACAGGAAACAGCCTCTTGTGAGAACGTACAGGGTTGGTTGTGTCGCACGTAGGAAAGGTTCCTGCCAGCGATGGTATAGTTTCAGTTACTTCTTTTGAAGAACGAAAGACTGCATGTCTTTAGTCCTGAATGATGTTGTTGAATGCTCACTTAAACACACCCAAGGATTCTTTGTCCCTAGCAATCCTCAGTGTAGCTCCAAGACTTTGTGGAAGTTCACTTAGACCAACTCATCTGATCTTCTCTTCAAGTTTGTTTGAAACACGTGACACTCAAATGAACACAGTTGTTTTGCCTTTACCCTTGGTTGACTGTTGCTTCATGTTTTGCCTTCTTTATGCTGTGCTTTATCCTGTGCTTTTCTTGGATACTCTCGGTGAGGGACGGCGGGCTATTCTCGGGACCCGCTTCCGGGCACTCTCCGGACCGTGAAAGGCTGCCTGTTGACACCCTATACATGACACCCAAAGGCTACTTGGGATTTTTGCTTAGTTTCTGATTTTGCCCTGCTCAGCCCACTAAAGGAACAATCATTGGCATCACTTTTCTGTAAGGGACGAATGTTTCTTGCTTTTTCAAATACTTCTAGACATCCATCTAGGAACGTGACTCATCTGTATAAGATCTGTTTTTATTGTAAAATGCAAAATGTCAGCACCTTGGAAGAGTTTGATATTCACAGCAAGCTCCTGGGTTAGATGGCACAAGAGAGACTGTCGGGAGCCTTTCGGTAGGGTGGATCTAACTTGGAATCGTTTTTTAACGTAGGGTTTTATTTCACAAGTTTCTAACCCCGGTGAGCATTACCCAGTCTTGTGAGGTCGTTAGCTTTGCCCCTCTGAAACTTGCTTGTGACACTAGCTTTATTTTGAAATGCCCACCCCTCTTACCCGTTTGTACATTTGAGACCAGTAACAACCAGACTCCTTGTTTCCATCTTCAAGATACGAAAGTTATTTTTCCACTTTCATTACCTCGTGCATTGTCACCAGTTGTCACCCTTTGAGTTCTTGCATTCTTGTGGTTATTGCTGTGCCCCCCACCGGGTCTTACCGAGTGCTGATGTGATGTGTTTGGGGCCTGGTTTGACAAGGAACACGTGCAGTTGTCCAGTGGTGGCACTCTAACAGGTGTCTCCTTTTCATTCCAACTCGCCTAAAGACACGAAATTGTAATTATACCTCACTCCATAAACTGTTGGAAGTAATTTATACCCATGCCTCAAATTTATGCGTGTGCTTCAATTTAAGAAATACAATATCTTTTGATCCTTTAGCATGCTGGAATATGATACAGAGAACCTGAACTCTGAAGAAATTTACAGTTCTCTGCGTGGAGTTACAGAAGCCATTGAAAAGTTTAGTTTTCGAAGCCAAGAGGATCTGAACGAGCCAATTAAGCGAGATGGCAAAAAGGACTGTGACATTGTAAGTATCCCCGGGTTAACAGAGAACTGTATTTCGGTGAAGTGAGAACTCTGAGGACTGACCACGTGAACACTGAGCTTCATCATCGTTTGTGTCTTGTAGCTAGAAGAGTATTATCTTAAGAGGCCCGAGGCAACTTTAGAAAATTTTGAGTGACCCCCAGCTCTCTTTGTGAAGATTGTAAACTATCTTGTCCCCCGTTTGCCTTTGTTTATCCTGGACATATTTTTGTTCCTGTGACGTGATGAAAATAGTAGGCCTGAATCAGACAGCAGCGTGGTTCTCTGGGAGCTGTAGTTCCTGCAGAGGCAGGCGGATCCGTGGGGAGTGGTGGTGCGGCGGGAGCGGGCAGGGCTCAGTACTGATGAGTCAGGCTGGGCCGGTCCCGGTGCCCAGAGGTGGTGCTGTCCTCGGAGCCGCGTGAAGCAGGGTTCGAGGGGAGTGTGTGGTCAGATAGGAGGACGGGCCTGGGAGAAAGCAGAGAGGTGGCAGGGGGCATGGCATGAGTTCTCTTTGCGGTGGCTGGTGTGCAGAGAGCGGGCCTGTCGTGTTGGTGGCCAGGTTTGGGGAGGAGGCTGCAAGGGTGGCTCAGGAAGGGTACTCCCTTTCCTGCTGGTGTCTGACTCCACTCGGGAGTCACTGGAGATTTTTAACCAAGGAAGTGGCGTGGTCACACTTAAAATTTTAGGAAACCTGCTGCCCCTCTGAGATGGAGAATGACTCTGGAGGAAGTGGGGTCGGTAAGGCATGAGCTGAAATAACAAGAGTCCGAAGTCTCTGGCTAGAACTGTTAGGTGCTTGTGCCGTTCAGTGAGATCATATCACAGAAGGAGAAAAAATGTGTGTTAACCCCTTTGGAACTTAATGAGTTCAGTTTTGGATGTGTGTGACTTGGGAGACATAGGGAGTATCCAAGCACACATACTCCTTAGGCCTTTGCAGATACCAGTCTGCAGTTCAGGCTGGCCGCTCGGCCCAGAGATGAAACATTGGGAGACGTTGACTGGTTGCCTGATGGTAACTAGAAAGTGAGTGAAATCAACCAAGTAAAGGGTAAGGACAAAATCCTGGGGAGCATCAACACTAAAGGGAAAGACAGAAGAAGAGGACTTGGGAGAAGGGCTACAGGTTATTATTGCATGGGAGACCAGGAGAGTGGGGTATCAGAGAATTTAAGGGAAACTTTGGGAAAGGCCTTGTAGCCAAAGAGGTGATGCTGCAAAGACAGCGACCAGCCAGACGTGAAGGGAAAGGACTCCGCTGGATTTTTTTTATTTTTTTATTTTTTTTACGATCTGCATCAAATATTGTATTTTAGCTGAAAGTATATAAAACACACGTTTATTCACCATTGTTCTGATGTAGAGCCACGACTTCTTCTTGGAGAATGGACCCACGGTTTGGATTTCCATGTTCTTCTTCTCAAATAAACTTTACGCACAGTCCTGGTCTACGGTTTCCAGATCTAGTTTCTTCCAGGAGCCCCATCTGTTTTGTGAGCACCGTTCAGAGCAGAGCTGAGCGTGGAAAGCAGAGTGCAGTGGGTTGAGGACCAGCTTGAGTAACAACCTGGACATTGAGGAGGGATCATTCAGGACCTTTTCCCCGGGGAGACCTGCCCCGTCTGAATGCACATGGGACCAGTTAGGAGAAAAGTGTGGACAATGCCGTGGCAGGGCGTAGGTGATTGGTGGACACGGGTCCTTGAGGACATGGCAGAGGAGGCAGTCTGGGCACTGGTGGCCGTAGCTGGGAAGCAGGGTGGGCTGGGTTGATGTGGGGCCAGGAAGTGGAGGGCATCCCCACTGACCGCTCCCACTTTCTATGGGCAGCAGAAAGAGGCCGACCTGACTCCGGGAGTTCAGCTGTGGTGAGGAGAGTGGAAAAGGGCTTCCAGAACACCTGTGGGGAGCGAGGGGCTCAAATTAGGGAATCCGAAGCCCTGCTAGGAACAATAGAGGCCCTAAGAGAAGGTGGATGCTTTCGTGTGTATTTTTCTATTTCTTTATATATATTTATGCAGCTGTATGCTTGGAGTAGGCTGTAGCATGTTTTTGTTTGTTTTTGATGCAAGTGACATCACGGTGTGCATTCTGTTGAGTGTAGCATGTGAGCACTTTCCCCCCGTCTGCATTCTCCTGTGGGAATTTTTATGGTCAGGTGAGAATTTGTCACATGGATACCACAATCATGTACTCAGTGCCCTATTTTGGAACATTTGAGTGATTTCCGCTTTTTCAAAGCATAAAAATTCTCTGGCGAAGTTGAAAGGGGTGAAACTTGCCGAGTGAAGGTAGCAGGCGAGGCATGGAAGCAGGATTGTCATTGGTGGGATCGGCAGGATGGGGTGCAGGAACCCCCAGGCCAGACAACAGGGTGGGTGACAGGATAGGAGAACATGAGAGGACGAAGTGGAAATTGTTGAACAGGTTCGAAATTCACGATCTTAGCTGCTGATTATCAGAGTGTGAGCGAAGAAGCTGGGCTGGGTGTGAAAATGCATTATGTGTGAAAGACTCGGGAGCCAGTGTACCTCTTTGGTTTGATAAGTGACCCAGTGTAATAAGACAGACCTCCGTAAGGATGAATGTCAGAGCCACTAGGAAGACAGTTCCCCAAAGCAGAGATGAAAACGTTCAACGTGCAGGAGAAAGTCCATCCTTACGGGTGATTACAGAAATGCAGCAAACATACATTTGAGGCTCCACTTTATTTCTAAATTGTTCCGCTTTGTTTCGGGTAGAAAGTAGAATATTTAATGCTTCAGGATATGAGGGAACTAGTGAAATATTGGTGGCATGGGAACTTGATACAGTTGCTTTGGAGCTAAGTAAAATTATATTCGGCATAGGTGATTTTAAGTTTCATATCCTTTATCAAGTAATGTAACTTTTGGCAATCTGTGCTAAATAACAAATGCAGCAAAAGGTAAGAAAAGTATTATGTTACAGTGTAGTTTATTTCAGAGTTGTCTATAATAGCAAAAAATAGAAGCATTAAAAAAAGTAGAAGGGGAATGGTTGAGTAAATCTTACTAGAACACAAGTAGAAATAGTGGTGTGATTAAACAATATGTTATTTTTTTTTAATTTTTTTTTTTTAACGTTTATTTTATTTTTGAGACAGAGAGAGACAGAGCATGAACGGGGGAGAGTCAGAGAGAGAGAGGGAGACACAGAATCCGAAACAGGCTCCAGGCTCTGAGCGGTCAGCACAGAGCCCG